GCACCCCTTATATGGTTCACACATGGCTAAAAATTAATGCAATGTCAATACATTTAATCTTGGATTACATACTAAAGTGCCAAGCAGACCGTAGCCTAGTCAAAACTCTTTACCTAAAAGAAAAAGCTAACCATATACATATATATGTATATCACATTATATTTTATATTTAGTATAATTTTGAATATTTACCAACTTACTATATAAGATACTCATTATTAAATGCATATGCTAATAATAATTTGCATCTCCACCTCTGCCTCTACCTCTACCTCTACCACTACCACTACCTCTACTTCTACTTCTACTTCTACTTCTACTTCTACTTCTACTTCTACTTCTGCTTCTTCTTCTTACTTCTACTTCTACTTCTACTTCTGCTTCTGCTTCTGCTTCTGCTTCTGCTTCTACTTCTGCTTCTGCTTCTGCTTCTGCTTCTGCTTCTTTCTGCTTCTGCTTCTGCTTCTGCTTCTGCTTCTGCTTCTGCTTCTGCTTCCCCACTTCACTTCTGCTTCTGCTTCTACTTCTACTGCTTCTCTACTGCTTCTACTTCTGCTTCTGCTTCTGCTTCTGCTTCTGCCTTCTGCTTCTGCTTCTACTTCCACTTCCACTTCTGCTTCTACTTCTACTCCACTTCTACTTCTGCTTCTCTTCTGCTTCTGCTTCTGCTTCTGCTTCTACTTCTGCTTCATCTTCTGCTTCTACTTCTACTTCTACTTCTACTTCTACTTCTACTTCTACTTCTACTTCTCTTCTGCTTCTGCTTCTGCTTCTACTTCTACTTCTACTTCTTCACTTCTACTCTACCCCTACCTCTACCTCTACCTCTACCTCTACCTCTACCTCCCTACCTCCCCACCCCACCTCTACCCTACCCCTACCTCTACCTCTACCTCTACCTCTACCTCTACCTCTACCTCTACCTCTACCTCTACCTCCACCTCCACCACTACCACTACCACTACCTCTACCTCTACCTCTACCTCTCCCATCGCCGCCACTTCATTTCATGCCCACACCGTAGCAAATTCAAACTTAAGTATTTATACCATTTTCAGGTGAACACACTTTAATTTGTGGAGACTTCCACGCCTTATTACGCCGTTACATAGACTTGAACGAAACCATTATACCCTGAATTCCCACTTTCAATCGGTTCAGGATATACAAAAAATAAACAAGATTATATTCTACTACCAGTAATACAATCATTCTTTTTCTAACGTAAACACGCTTCGATGTATCCTTTGCACACATAGACATTTTATTAGTTTTATGTGTTTGGCTAAACCCTTTATTCTTTGACAAATTTATTACAACCTTGTTGTTGTTTTCGTTGCTGTTATTATTATTATTATAGGAGCTTGTTGCTGTTGTTGTTGTCGCTTGTGTTTTCGGCGCTTACGCATGCATTTACAGTAAATTATATGGAATTGTCACTGATGTGCGACGAAGGTCACTGAATTTCTCTAGACACAAGCTTTGAGGACTCATGCACAATATGTATATGTATGTCGATTTCAAATATATTAATTCTCGTTCTATTTCTTTTTCAGCTTCACAGAAGTCAGCTCCATCTGTATAGTTCTACTCAACTTAACACACAGTTCCAAAAATTACTTCAATGTCTAATTAAATATACGCATAGATATAAATATATTTGTGAATTATCAGTACGTGCTTCAGATATCATGTTTGAACATTTATCGTCTGCAAAAAATTATCAAAAGCAAAATTTACAAATGAAAGTGATGTGCGGAGTGTAAAGTAGAGAAGTTGAAGAAGTATTATCAAATGATAAATCTTACATTGTGCTTGAATGAAAAGTTGGCGTTGGATTGGAACGTAGTAAAAATGAAGTTGAAACGATCGCACGCTCGAGTCGAATGAAAAACTAGGGTAAGTTAAAAAGAAACAATTTATTCAGTATGAAAAATAGAATTTGTATATTAAAGTTAAATGAATATCTATAAATTAGTTATGGTTTGTTCCAATGAATTAAATTGAAGAGAGGGAAAAAATGTATCACCTACATGATTCCCTAAAAATTAAAAATTAGAATACTTTAAATACCTTCCATATAATAATATTTAGATACTATTTAAATAATACACGTTTGTAGGTCTGTCTTTGCTATTTACATAATGAACTTAAATGTCTTAATAAAATACTAGACTGATTCGTCCTTTAACTAATACTAGTATTATGTAGCATCCCACTAAATAATAACAGATACTATTATATTTGATCAAACCTCGGCGTATCGAATAATACAATTCTAAAATTTTAAAAAGTACTATTATATATTTTATTGGAACATACCCCCTAGGCTCATTCAACTGTAAAGTAAATCAATAATATTTAGACATATACTCTAACCGTAGATGATTATCACGTATGCTCTATTGTTAATCTAGAATTTTGTTGGTCCCCGTAGTATTTAAAGTTTAATATATACAATTTTGGTAGCTAAAATTTGGCAATAGAAACACAATCGGATTTGTTGCCAAAACATGTCGCAATTGTGCATCACTTATTTTGAGCGCTGTCGAAGGGGCGTATGTGTAATGCATTCGCAAGAAGCTGCTAACAGCGAGTACCTCTATTTACCAAACATCAATATTTAATGTCACGCAAATTGTCAAAATGTTGACACAAATACAGCTGAAAATGTCCAAGGTAAGGCAAACAAAAAGTTGCCAACAGAAATCATAGACAGTCAACAGTTCCCCAATTGTATGGGTATGTGTGTATGTGATCATGTGTGCGTGCATGTGTGTCGGTTGATGTTTACCAGGCCATTCACGCTTCAGCCTGCTTGTGTGTGTCTTTGTCCTCTCGGTCCTCCCTGCCTGTGCGTCCTGCCAAAGGCACACACGATTTCAAACATGTGGGGGTAATTGTTTTATGGTCCTCGCGGGACGCACAAAAACAAATCTAAAAAATCATTATTTTGTAGATTTATGAGTTTAAGTTTGATTTAATTTTTGTCCGACTTTTAAGTGTTCTGGCTATAGAACTGACAAGAAAAGATTTTAGTTTTGATTCACAGTGTAAAACGCGATAAATCTTTAGAATATTTTGTTGTTTCTTGCAATTAACACGTTACAAGGGGTGTATTCGAATTACTTTTTTATAATTTAGTATATCCGGTACTTCAGTAATTTAATTGTCGGTTTTCCCTTTAGATGGGCCTATATGTAACTATATATACTCAAAACATATCGGCTCTAGCAGTAGTCATCCCGGTTTATAGCTCTGCCGACAAAAATAAGCCGGATAGAGGGACGGACAGCTAATCAGCCCGTTAGACGTTCGTTCTCGTCGCAATAACCGAACAGTTATGAACAGTTATTTCTTCAGGTTTATTTTTTAGTTTGTTGTACAGTGCTTATCATAATTATAGCCCACCCTGCAACTTAAACTTTGAGCCCGTTGTAACAAAATTTTTAAGGTTTTTTAAAAATAAATTTTACAGCACATTATAGACTGGAGCATGTTCAGTAGATTTTATCAAAATTTTAGTTCAATTTATGGAAAACTAAGAAAGAACCGTTAACTTTTGCTCTGTGCTAGCATTTTTGCTTGCATTTTTGTGTATCATAATTATAGCCCACTGTCGCAAATTTGAATTTATTAAGTGCGGAACAGACTTTTGGCTTTGCAGACATTGTAATTAAGTAAATTTAGATAGTTTTTAAGAGATGCCGCTTGGAAAACAATTATCTTATTATGAAAAGGGCCGTATTTTCTCACTTTTCGAGTCAGGAGAGTCTATTTCGAGTATTTTACGAATTTTGAAAAAAAGTCAAAGTGTAATTAAAATTTTTTTGGATAACCCCGAAGAATAAGGATCAAGAAGACGTACTGGGTGAAAACCGTTACTAATTGCGCACGATAAACACAAAATTATTAAGAAAGCCAGCAACAGCTCAACCGCTTGTACAGCTTTGGCCTCACATGTGGGCGAATCTATGTCAGCGATGACTGTTTGGCGAGTACTTAAGAGCTCAGGAATCATAAATAGGTCTAAACTGACCAAAGCATCCATGTTGCTAAGTCGCCACAAGGTTGCTCGACTTGGTTTTGCCGATGGACATACTGCGACCGATCTGACATACGCGCGTTTGAATCATCGTCTTTTGGCTTACAGTATATTTATAAATTTTTACCCTAACAGGTCGTATTTTCTGATGGGAAGAAGTTTAACCTGGATGGTCCTGATGGGTTTGATACTTATTAGCATGATTTGAGGAAGGATCCTATGTTTTTTTCAAGGACAGACTTTGGAGGTGGCTCCGTCATGATTTGGGGTACATTTTTTTCATTTGGTACCTGGGAATTGAAGTTTGTAACGAACGGAATGAACAGTGAAGAGTATATTCAGGCTCTGGATAGTAGTCTTAATCCATATTTAAGGGAATTACGTGAGAAACCAATGGTTTTCCAACAGGATAATGCCTGAATCCATGTGAGCAGACGTACAAAAGAGTGTTTGGAGGAATGTCATGTTGATGTCCTTGACTGGCCAGCATGTTTTTCAGATCTCAACCCGATAGAAAATGTCTGGGGTAATCTTGCAATACGTGTGTATGCCAAAAATCGCCAGTTGGGAACAGTTGGATATCTTAAAACGCAAATTCTAAATGAATGACAAAGTTTCGAAAAGGACCTTTTATTAAATTTTGTGGTTTCAATGAGGAAGAGAATTTTTGAGTTAACTAAGACAAATGGAGGCCGGACTAAGTATTAACATTAGTTTTTCCATTAATCCGCAACGAATTCGGATTTTTTTTACAAAAATATGAATATGGGCTATAATTTTGATACAGAAAATGGTGCTGTTTTTCCTTGTTTTTTACTTCTTTTTAAGAAATCGTTATTAAATCGTGAATTTTAAGTGAAAAAGTTTTTTGCCATTCATAATTGAAATATTGAACTACTCATTTTTGAAGATTTTGAGGAAATATTCGATTTGGGAAAAATTTTCAGCCGATTCGTTTAAGTGGATTAAAAGTGGGCTATAATTATGATAAGCACTGTATAAGAACATGTTTTAAAATTCTTTCTTGACATAAAGAGGTACGATTTATAATACAGGTTCTTAAACTAATTGAATTCCGATAATTGCATAGAAATGTCTTGCATGATAGTTCTACCAAACGGTTAATGCCAGAAGATGGAGAACTAATATGCTTCATTAATACATTTTCCTCTCCACCTTTGGAAATAAAAATCTTTGTAGTCCCATATACGCGCATACAAATAGGTTCACATCAATAATTTCTTTCTAACTCTCTCTTCGTCAGTAATATACTGATATAGTGTTTTCATGGAGTGCTGTCATTCTTTTAGTTAGGCTGTTTTCGCTGGGGCATTGGGATCGTACGACTGTACCTCGGCTGTGCCCCAAATCCAAAATACGATTGCTGACAAAACCAATATAGCAAAGCCCAGCCAGAATACGCCATGCCATTGAGCTACTGTCGTCTGTAATTTCCAATAATAAACGAGTCAAAAATAAAATGAATTTCCATAACTTTAACTTACTTGGGGTGTCATTAATCCAACAATAGGGGGGGCTGCCATGCCAGCCAAAGAACCAAGCCCGTTACAGATGGCAGTGATTGTGCCCGAGAAAGTTGGAGACATATCCATTGGCGAGAGCTTTTGGCCCACATAGTATGCACCCATTGTAAACATAGCCAAAACAAAGAGTGCAACCACTACATAGACGTCGCAGCCAGCGTACGACGCTGCGACAGTTAAGCCTCCTGGTCCAATGGCACCTAGGGAAACAACATGAAAAATGTATATCAACTGAACAACTGTAAAAAGCATTAGAGCTCTCACACATGTATCTTACACATTTATGTACACACATACTTTTAATAAACAGTCGGGCGTTACCGATTGCAGATTACTCATTCACAGCCCTAACGCTGTCAAACACCGAGTATATTGAAAAATTGAAAAACCATCGATAGTTATTCCCTTCTACATTTAGTACATCATTGGAGCTAGGATCTTCAAATTACATGTATAATTTATACAATTCTGATATTTGTTATATTTTGGATACCGGTTCCAAGCTGGCCGCAGAACCACACGATTTTTTTATACATATGGAAAGGATGAATGTGTGCCATCCTATTTTTAATGCGTACAAGCAAAAGCGCGCCTTCTAGCAAATGCTAGGAATTGCGATTGACTTCTGGATTTTCTAGCCGTTAATGTAGTTTTGTCAGATGACTCTCTGCTATGAAGTTATTCTATTTTAGTAAAGGCGACACAAGTCGTGATGGTAGAGTAGCGAGAGAGGGTTCAATTAACTCTCTAAGGTTTTTTTTTTGTCATATATATTGTTGTTTTTATAAATTTGATATTTTATTGGGAAGGCGCGAGCTTGACTGAATGGCACTCAATACTTTTCGTTTTCTTTGTCGAAAATTTTTATGAATTTAAATTGGTTTCTTCTTAAATATCCCGAAATGCTTATGCGTATAGATACACATACATAAATACATATATACAATGTAAGTCTAACCGCATAACTGAAAGCACTCCAGCCTTTCTTATGCACACGCTCATTAGTATGAGAGGATGTATGCACATATGCGATTGATTTATCTTTGCATTGTTTTTTAATTTCTGGCTTTTATTTGCTATATGACGTCCTAACAATAATGTCAATTCGTATTAATAATAATAATAAAATTATATGTTTTCGCCTATTAGGGCCGTGACAAATCGGACCAGACGATATAATGATTTTTAAAATTCTGCTATATTTTGGACACTATTGATACTAGAGACCTCAAATTTTGTATATTCGATATATTTCGACGGATATATATCCGCTCACATGGGGCGTGGCAAACCGAAAAGTTTTTATCTCCTAAAGTATAATAGCTAGATGCTTCAATTTGGATAGTTAAGTTACTAGAAATCTCCTCAATCGATAACCAAAAAATATTTTGTACGCCTCTTTAGCGGCGTGGCATATCGAAAAATACCCTGTAATTCTCACATTTTTGAAGCGCAAGCATTCAAATTTTGCAGTTAGGATACCGTTAGATCATTCTAAGAACTGACTAAAAATGAGGCATTTACGTCCAGTAGGGGCGTGGTAAATCGGAAAAAACTGCGTTTTCTACAATACTTAGCTATTAAATTGCTGATGGGATGAGAATGAGTATTCCGCAGTCGGTAACGCCCGACTTCAACGTTCTTACTTTCTTTATATATGTAATTGGCACACGCATATAAATTTCTTAGTTGCCCGCTACAAATGCCGATTCACCCCGCCTCTAGTGGGCGTAGATTGTCGTGGTTCAAAGTTCGAATCCCGCAGAAAACTTTTAATTGTTTTTATTTTTTGTAAAGATTTGTAATTAAAATTATATTTTTTAAATTTCATGAAAATGTTACCGTCCGTGTTATTATTAAGCCTATTAAGCATATATATATATATATATATATATATATATATATATATATATATATATATATATATATATAGATGGCATACGCATGCGACATGAATCGCAATTTGACACTACAAATGCCGATTGCCAGTTTATAGAACGAGCTAACAGTAACGTAATTGCAAAATGTTATTGCTTACGCTCAAAAAACATGAACGTTTTAGGGAATTTTTCCGATATGCGTTCATTGCGGAAATCGCACAGAGCCGCTATCGTTGAATGAGTATAACAAGTAAGAAAGTTGGAGTATAACTACAATCGAAGTTTTATAAATACATATGATGCATATTATATTATAGGCATATATAAAATTTGGAGACTATTTAAAGATGGGGATATACAATTGTATAAGGCTTTTAATAAAAACCAAATAGCGCGAGTTGTTTCAGATATTCTGAGACCGACGCGCTCACACATACGGACATACGGACAGACGGATGGACGGACGGACAGACGGACAGGGGTAAATCGATTCAGTTCGTCAAGAATATAAATACTTTGTGGGGTATGGAACGCCTCCTTCTGCCTGTTACATACATACATTTCAACAAAACCTGATTTCTCATTTTAAATGGTCTGTATCTATCTGAGTTACTACAGAGAAAATGTTCTCGAGGATTTCTAAAAAAATGTCTAGTGAATTCTGATAAGGCCCATTCGTATATTTGAACAGTATAGGAGTCGGTATGAAAAGTATGAAGCTAATCAAAATTCTATTTAAAGTACAACAAAGTAAACGTTTTTAATCGATTAATTGAAACAGAAACCTATCGATTATGTTACTTAACCTAGCCGGGTTGAATAAGCACTGCATATAAAAGTGAAGTCAAATTTCTGTACGACGGTAGGAACCGACGGACGGACGGATAGGGCGAGACTACGAATAGGCTGACTGGATCACTCACCAATAAAGTTAAACAATTTTCGTTCCAAGTTAATAGACATTCTGTTTGTGCGTATTAGCCAATCGGTTAAAAAGCCACAACTAATCGAGCTAATAAACATCGCAACGAAAGGCAGAGAGGTCATGATGCCATTTGAACGTATGGACACCCCAAGCACGTCTGCCATAAACTTGGGTAGGCAGGTGATCATAACATAGTAGCCCCAATCGTGTCCAATCTGAGCTACAATCGTTGCCGCCAATGGCTTGTTAAGTAACAGCTTTTTCCAGGGTATCGGCGGCTTTTCAGTTTTCATTGGTATTTGCTCTTCTAGGTAAGCCTTCTCCTTCGTTCGGATCCATGGATGTGAGCTGGCAGTGCTGTAGCAAAGTATGAGCTGCGAGGATACGAGTGTGAAATATCATAAGCGGACCATTAGCTCAACAGTTCAGTTCCCCAACTAAATACTTACGAAAAGTATTACCCAAAGAATTGTTAAAGAACCAAAAATGTAAAGGCATGCAGGCCAGTGCATATAATGCAGCATGAAGCCGGAGCCAAGGTTGCTAGTGACCGTTCCTGCGGTCACGCCGCTGTAGCAGATAGTGCCCAACGTGCCACGCTCTTTTTTGGGCACCCAATGGGAGAGCAGAGTGGTCATAGCTGGAAAGAGGGGTCCTTGCGCGAGTCCCATTATGATACGCACGGCAATCAAGCCCCATTGGTGGCCATAAATGATTGCGACTGGCGTTAGGCAAGTGGAAAGGGCGGATATTAGCATGCCGGTGGCTAAGACCCATTTCGCTCCGAATCTGTCAGCTAGTACGCCACCAGGCAGATGGGTTATTATGTACCCGATATAGAAGCTACCCAAAATAAACCCTTGCAATTCCTCAGACCATTTGTATCTGCCTGTGTACTATAGTCAGAAAAGGAAGTATTGCTCAATATAAAAGCGGAATAATAAATAATCTCTGCTTTCGCGCACTTACATCCGCTGCATGGGATTGGGAAAGTGATTTGTCACCCGGACATACCGCTCCTTTTGTAGAATTCGATCGAAGCTTAGGCACAACCAGTTCGACGATTACATGGGATAATGAAACACGATTCGTATACGCGAACAGTAACGCCAAAAATCCCATCAGAGCCACAGCAATGCGTTGCGGGACCAAGCAGCCTGGTCACGTTGTCATAATCATTAGAATAGATCTTTTATGAAATATGTTTGCCTTACCCTCGCCGCACTTGCGTCCCCATTCAGGTCTTGTATCTTCCTTATCCATTTAAGCGTTAAGAATATAGTTCATTTTTCAATAAAAAAAAACAAGAAATTTTGAACTTATTGATAATTTTGTCTTTATATTTATATATAAATATGTATACAATTTCAATCTGTGTTGTGACATAATTTATAAACATACTGTGACATATTCCATAAACATACTGTTTTTGGACAATTTCATTCAAAAATATTTAATCACATCTACAGCCACGATAAGATTTCATCCGCCAAAATGCAAAACTTGAATCGATTTTGCGATGCTCTACCCATCGCACAAGACATACGAACGGTCTCATGGATGAATACGGTTCGTTCACGCGATGCACGTGTATGTGTGCATAAAAGAAGTGCAGAATGATTGGAATATCAGCTTGGAGGGTTCAGGATATCTCCTATTCGAGCAGTCTCAACTGGAGCCTTCTTAGTTGTTTATATTATAGCTGATTGCGTGTGTGTATATGTATGTGCATGTGCATAAAAGAAGCGAAGAATTATCGATGTATTGGTTCCTAATAGGGCTCAGAGTTTTCTGAGAAGTATAATGATCGATGAATATCGATAAAAAGAAATGGGTATGATGTAGTCCGACGAATCGACATTGTATATCAACTCAGTCGAGACAAAGATCAAGCGAATACATACTTTATGGGCTCCGTCACGCCTCCTTCTGCCTGTTCCATACACTTGAAAACAAGCATTTCACCCGGATTTCCCATTTTGAATGTGTGCAGGGTATATAGCATATTTGTATGTAGTATATAGTCATGGACTGAGAACAACTTATCCATTATCGGAATGCACTTTAAGGCTTCAGTTTGAATTCCGTTGCCGGAATGAATGCGTTAATTAAGAAATATTGAGCCGCCCAGCTAGTCTGGTCACGCTTACCGGCCGCCCACTCACACACGCACACGTACACCTCCGTTATATCGATTTGTGGGACCTATCGTGACACCTTTATGTTTACGCGATTCATTAAAAGGGCAGACCGACGGCAAATCGATGACAATTTAAACGTATCTTAATGGAGCAAATGAATGACAAGCAGGAATGAAAAGGTATGCGAAAGTTAAATTATTGTGTCGTAAAAAGGGCGTAGAAAATAGTTACATCATATTACATATATACAAATATCATAAGTAGCTTGCAAAGTCGATAAAATTATTTAAACATTAAGTCAGGTATTATGTAAACGCGTCCAATGGTATGTGCGACCTCTTGCGTCTCCTATGCCTTGGGATCCTTGGATCGTAGGCCTGGCGATCGGCGGTTCCCCACACCGCAAATACGATGCCTGAGAAAGCCAGAATAGCAAAGTTTAGCCAGAATACGGAACGCCATTGCCTCATTGTAGTCTGCAATGGAACAGTTACATGGTTGTAGGGCTCTCTCGCTTTATATATCAAAATATGTATATGGTTCACTGATCGATCAGTTCAACATACGTCGGTTGTCATGATGCCAATAATAGAGGGACATGCCACTCCGACTACCGAGCCCAGTCCATTACAGATGGCCATAATGGTTCCCGAATAAGTGGGCGACATGTCCATGGGCGTTAGCTTTTGGCCTGCATAGAACGGGCCCATCGTGAACAGCGAGAGCGTGAAAAATGCCACTGCCCAACTCTTATTGCATCCGACATACGAGGCTCCGACCATAAGCACTCCTGGTAGAAAGGCGCCTAGGGGCACAGAAAACTTGTAGGTATTCGGCACAGCCTTGTGAGACTAAGCACGTTGGACTCACTAATGAGCGTGAATACTTTTCGTTCCACATTGAGTGTCATTCGTCTGGTGTGTATTAGCCAATCCGCTAGAAAGCCACAAAGCAGAGAGCTGAGCCACAGCGCAATGAAGGGCAAGGCGGTCATGATGCCGTTGGAGAGTATAGAAAACTGAAGGACATCGGACATATATTTGGGCAGGTAGCTGACAATCGCGAAGAAGCCCCAGTCGTGCCCCATTTGGGAGATGGCCAATGCAATCAATGCCTTGCTGAACAATATCCTCCTCCAGGGTGTTGGCAGGATATCCTTCTGTACTGGTATGTGCCTCTTCAGGTAAGCCTTTTCACCTGGCCTGATGAATAGATGCTCGTTAGGTGTGCTGGCGCATATTAGGACCTGTGTTAGAGACCATTAGGGCGGGAGTTGGATTAGTTGTAAATGCACAAATACTGACAAATGCGATCATCCAGAACATTGTCGCTGTGCCAAACACTATGAGGCACATCCCCCAGGGAAGGTAGTGGATCATGAAGCCGGAGCCCAGGTTGCTTACCACGGTGCCGGCGCTGACTCCGCTGTAACAGAAGGCGCCCAATGTCGAGCGCTCCCTCGGGGGCACCCAATGGGAGAGCAGTACGGTAAGAGCCGGAAAAATCGACCCTTGTGCGACTCCCATCAAAATACGCACAGCTATCAGGCCCTTCTCGTGGAAGATTTCGACTATAAGTGGAGTGAAAATAGTGCACAAGGCAGAGCACAGCATTGAGATGCCCAAGACCCACTTGGCACCGAATCTGTCGGCCAGCATGCCGCCTGGGATGTGGGCGACAAAGTAGCCGATGTAAAAGCAACCCAAAATAAAGCCCTGCAGCGACTCGGGCCACTCATGATTGCTTCTTTGCTGTGATCGTGGCGCGCTTGAATTACACAATGCTCGCCGAACGGTAAACATATTCACTCAACCTACATGCATTCTTTCCGCCCTCACACCGTCCTCGGGCGCACATACCCCGCTGCCCTTTCGATCAATCGGCTCCGTTCGATTCTTGTGCGCAACCAGCTCAAGGATAATGTGTGCGATCGATACACGGTTCGTAAAGGCGCAGACCAGTCCAAAGAAACCCATTGTCGCTACCACAATGCGTATTGGCAGCAGGCACGCTGGCAGGGTGGGCGTGGTCGGAGGAAATAGAATGTTAGCCTCAACGAGTAGTTTTTCGGAGCATACGCTTTCGTACGGTATTCACCTTTAGTGCATCGGTGCTGCCAAATGGGTTGTTTGCCAACCGTTATCATATTGTATGTCGTCTCTCCGCAATCGGCCTACGTACCATACATAATTTTCACATACAATTTTGAAAGGAATATTTGCAAGCTAAATTGGTCAAGGCAAATAAAATAATGATATCCATTTTGCTCAAACCTATCGTTGATATGTCTGACATATTTGACAATTGGCATAGAAACACATTTATATGTATAAGTAAATTCATTTAGAAGTTTATTCACAATGCATAATTGATTCTGCCTATTCGCTGAGTTTTTTGAATCAAGTAATCGTCGAGTACTATTATGGAAAATTAAGGGACCTCAATTTGCGGGAATCCCATGACTTGATCGCAATGTCTTTGAATTATTTGAGGTTGTATTGAGTTTTCCAATATCGAATTTTCTATATGCTCACAATATTTCTATTAGACTTAGACTTAATATCCTATCAAAAACTATTCAAAATGGGATCGTATTGGCGAACGAGATTACAAGGAATCGTTGTTCGGGTCGAACATATCATATTAACTATAAAATTTCATGAAATGGTTCAGATATTGCTTATTTGAATGCAGTAAATTGTAAAAGTTAGTGTAACGGTTAATTAAGTATTTATTCAGTGCTGCCTTTCTGCTGGCCTTGTGAGTGACTTTTACTAAGAACACTTTCTCCCTCACTTTGTCATTTCTCGCATTTGCTCCGCTTGAGCAGAGGTTCCACCTGAAATACTGGCCTTTAATTATGCTGGGAAATGTAACTTGGAAGAAACTATTTGCAACGCTAAGGCCTGTCATGATAAATTAGTCGAGTGGAATGCTTACATAATTTGAGTAGGCTCGCCTGAGGAGTCGCTGCCACTAAAAGCAAATTGGTGTAAGGCAAATACGAAATCGTATTTCATGTCAGACACGACAGTCGTATGCTACATACGACCACATATGGAAATACGTGTAAGGCATTTACACACATGTACAGTCAGATACAGATACAGACACACATATGGAAAACAAGTTGTGTTGCATTTTTTGGTTTCCCTTTACGTTATTATATTTAGCATTGCATAATGTAAGGCAGTAATTGCATTTATTTAGTCAAGTTTGAATCAAGCAAAAATCTGTTCTGGAAAATACTAATAAGTTAGCTGGATGTTTCAGCTCTGGTTCAAGCTGTAGCTGCCGTAGTTGCAAGCGGAAAGCCGCACATTGAGAACCGTAGCCGAGGTGGATGAAGTCGGCCGAGAAGAGGCCATAGGGCCATAGGGCCACTTAAATACCTGCGAAAGTTTTGCGAGCTTCCGTCGGAAATTGTTGCACATGCTGAAAAAATATGCAAGTGGCTTCCTATCAAATCTTCTGAAATGCACAGTAAGACAAGGAAATGCCGAAGGAAATTCATTTTCTTTTGAGACGCGCAGCGCAAAAACTTGCAAGACGAAAAGAAAAGCGCCAACCACCGCACTGTGAGCCGGCCCTTTGAGTTTGTGCATCAAAATGTTGCACAAGTGCTCGACACTCGCTGCGCTTTGCAAACAGCAAGCGCAACAGCAGCAGCAACATGAGCCCAACAACAAGTAGGCGTGCCCAGTCTTCAGCCCGACTTTGATATACCCTGTTTAAGAATTGGCCTTTTGCTGAAGTGAGATTAAAAAAATATTATTTCTTAAACTGAAAATAAATAATCTATTTCAGAAAAACATGTTTTATTTTTAGAAAGCAATTCTGAGAAACACTCCAGATTTGCGTAGATCCATTTTTGGTTTAGAAGTTAACTTTAAGAAGAACTTTAAGCAACTGTTTACTTCATGGCACTGAGTAGTCTTTGTAGGCTACATAAAGATTACTTCATTCTTCTTGTAATTCTACTTTAAAATAAGATAAATCTATTTCCCCTCATTTAAAGAATAATATTAAGTTTTTGAGATTATTAAACTTGATTAAGTAACAAATAAATAAATATACTTTTTGTTAGGCAATTAGAAGCCGAAAAAGATATCTAGCTGAAGTCTGAAGAAGATATCTAGTTTCCGAGTTCTATTAAGGTTTGAGAATAAAAACTCACTTTCTTTAAATCTTGACATAGGCATAGCACTAAACC